CTACCCAAAACCTGACCGCGTAACTATACATCAGAGAACGTGACGTGTAAACACATCCATCGGCTACTGAAACTCAGCCGACAGCGGCCCGACGTGCAAACGAGCCTCAAGCCGGCTTGAGGTTTATCTTGGATAAGAGCTTAACAGGAAGTTCGGACGTTATGCATTTATCTTTGCGAACTGACGAGAAAATATGACTTCCGGCGCAGATTTGCTATTTCTTCTTGAATAATCAATGCCAAGCTGAAAAGCACGGATACGATGCTTTTAAAACGAGAGATCTTGAAATGCCGTTCCTTCATTTAATTCTTCTCTCTTAAAGAAGGAAAGAAATTCCCTTCCAAAGCAATATATATGTATATTCTTTTGCTCGCAGCGAATAGCTATGCAAAGCGTATAGCTTCAACACAGTTTAAATTGAAAAGAGAAGGAGAGGGAGGTTGAAGACTTTGCCTGGATCCATGCGTCAGATTAAAAGTACTTTCTGCGGGCGCCATCAATGACGCTGATGAATACGATAAGGCGCATCAAAATGTATTAGCGCGCAATGAACGCTGAGAGGTGGGTAGAGCAACAGTTGTGCGAAACTTTGGCCGCGGCATCGAGATCTCAATGCTGATTGCAAACAGGGGGGAAACGAGACTGCGGAATGGGGACGGTCCTCTGATGAAGTTTCCTTTCCGGAAGTCGTATTACGACGGTCTCTAACTCGGCAATTCGTCCGCATTTACCGCACGATATACGGTATTTTAACGCATGTCGTAGAAAGCGTGTTTAGATCGTTCAATGCTAATCCCGAGATATATTTGCGGCAACGAATTGGGTCTGCATGAAATACGCCAATATTCGCCGGGAACTTGTACTTCAATTTCACAAACGAGCAAAAATGAATATGGAGACCGAATGACATGTTTCCCGCGTTAGCTTCTCTATATTTGTAAAACATATACAAACATATGAAATTTATAACATGAGATTTATAATGCATTAAAAATATTTGCGTGTGATGTAAAGTATAACTATTTGTTTAAAATTATTTTGACAATTATTAAAATATGTGCAAAGTGTGTATTTGTGTTTGCATCAAAATACATAACAATCGAATATATATCATGATTACATAGTGCTTTTTTTGTTTGCACGATCATATGTGGTATATGAATTCTTTATCGCAATATATTGCTATACGTTTCACGTGCAAGATGAAAAATATTTATACGTTAAAAAGAAAAAGTTTAGAGGAAAATTACTTTCAGAGTTAAACAATTTATTTCAAAAACACCTTATATTATCATATAATTGTAAAATGTAATGTTTTCAGAATAAAAATAAGCATGCCATAAATATGATTTATTTTTATTTTTCCTCTTGTTTATTTTTCTTTCATTTTCATTCTGATTATTGAATCTTTCTATTTGCAAGTAAATAACTTGTTTTAATTATGTGTTTATTCACATTGCATTTTCCTCCATTATTTTCGCAGTAAATAAAAGATATATCATAAAAAATTTATTGTTTGTGTTGCAGTAGATTAAAATATAAGTAAAAGGAAATTTCGCTGAAATTATTTTCTTCGAAAATTTGCATACTTTACTCGCTTCTATATATTACATATTGTATGCAACTTTTTACTTATTCAAAATGTATATCGAAGCAATATAAAATATGAAATATTGTGTCTTTCTTTCTTTATTGAATTGAATTGTTTTATGAGAAAAGAAAGAGAGAGAGAGAGAGAGCAATAATTAATAAATTAAAAAGTTTTTGAAAAAAATAGACTGAAATAAGAGAAATAATTTCTCTTGCTTCAGGAATGCATCGATTTTATCGAGTATACATAATTGCTACTAAAAAGTTAAACATAGTACACGTATATTGTACTTGTAAGATCAACATGTACTTATAAAGTTAACAAGAATTCATTCCAGTAAAATGCATGAATGGTAATTTTTCAACATAGTAATTTCCTTTCTACACAGTTACAATTTTAATTTAGCGCGAGTGAGCTTTTTACATCCATTAAAGAAAATTATTTACGGTGAAAAGCTAGTTATGTAAATTTCTTTTATTTGTTATCTTTCACGTCCTTGCGTATTCACTTTTTCGCATAATTCTTTCAACATTTTCGGATGAAAAAATTGTATACATTCTAGTTATAATAGTAAAATTGTTTATGTTTGTACATCATTATAAAATTGTTTATGTTTGTACATCATTATTTTTATACAAATTGTTTTTTGTAAAACAAAATATGACCAATTCTTCAAAACATTAACATCGTATATATCCACCAAATTTATCTGTTAATCAAAATAAAATATTTTCAGAATGTAACACAATAATAATAAAAAACTTATTTATTATGTTGCATACATCTTATTTCGTAAAATAGCTATTTAGTAAAAACAAATAAAATAAATAGTGCTCTCTTCTGGAATTAATTTGAGAGACGTAGAAAATGTATATATATATAAAGATTAAAAATAACTATTGTAACCTTTTTCTATGAATTTTTTTAATCCAGTTTTGTACTTTGGCAGCACATGGAGCATGTATGTGGTGAATTTAATTTATTTGAAACGGCTTTCTTTTCCATTCTGATATTTTTTCAGCAGCAAGTAATCCATTTTCCGCAATACAATCCGAGCTTTACAAATATACGTAAGCTTGTTGCAACGCGCGTCAGTCCACTTGAAGGATGATAGTACGCTACCGCGTGTCATCTAACCGGAAAGTGTTAATCAAATTGTAATCTGCAAGTGTATGCGGATAGCTACTTCACGTAAGTAACTTCAGCATGCGTAGAGAGTTTCTCAAACTCATTTATATGTATGCGCAGGAGAGAGAAAATACGCACAGGATGAAAGTTTTAATCTCTTGTATATTATATATAACCGAAGATGTATTTTCGAAACATTTTGTTTCGTTTAAAAAAAAAAATTGTTACATTAATTTTGGAAATGTTTTTATATAACGATAAAATATCAGATGATGATAAAATATCAGATGATATAACTGCTAATTATTATTTATAAACGATAAATTCGATAAATGGAACATTGATTCAATTTTCGTATTAGAAAGGAAGACACTTTTATTTTTTTCTTGTCATTTTTTATCTAAATTCATGAAAACCATTATTGATTCAAATAAGAAAAAAATAATTGGCAAATATATAACATTATTAAACTCTCTCATATGTGTGTGTATAAGGAATACATATAAATACTGAATATTTGATACAGGTTTTCAATTTAGCCAATATTTTATTAAAAAATATTTCTTTTCAAGTTAAATTTCGCGTTAAATTCGAGCAAAAAAATAATACGGTATATATACAATTTTTTAATTTAAAATTAAATTTTATTGAACTTTATGAAAACAGAGATAAGATTTATTCTAATTTTCGATTTCAAATCGTACAAAATATTCGTAAATGGCCATAATTTTTGGGCGTTCTATATAAATAAAAGTCTTTTGTACCATGATTAATATCCGCCGTGCGTTTGTATTAATGAATGATTTACGTCCATTATAAATCGCCCGTTATTTGTCATTTTCTCAACGATGGACGGTTTTTCAAAATCACCGAAACAACTCGCTGATCGTGCGCGTTCTCAATTTACAGAATCGAATAATCCGCGAATGTGTATGGATGAAAAGTGATTTATCCATAATGCACACTCGCGTTGTTCATAATCGCTCTTTATTGCATTGCTGACTAAATCGAAATTTGAACGTGCAAATATGCATAAAAAGCGCGTTGCTTTTACACACCTCGGACAGCCCCATTGAATTGCAAATGCTTCTTTTTTCCTCTGCACGTGCATTTATGTATGCGTGTGCATGCGTGTGCATTTTTTTTAAACTCTCTGTCATTTCGGCAACCCGCACGTCACTTGCGCGATAGTCGCGACGATAGATCGATGGAACAATCTGTCGCTGATGTCATTATGAATTTTGATGCTGCCGCGCGTTCATCGATCATCATTATTCATCCTCATTTGAATAAACTATTTATTTTCGTCGCACGAAGACTAATTAATTCTTACGTTTTTTGTTCGTCATATTCTCTATACTAATTACAAGAGAATCTTGCTAACTGGAAAATTTTAATTTTTAATTCCGATGAAACTTCACACTCATGTAGGGAGAGAATTAATAGATATGTGTAAAATTTCATCAAAATCAGAATTTTTCAATTCGCAAAGTTCCCTTGTAAATATATCAGTTGCACATTATGCATTTTAATAGAATATCGCGATTTTTTTTTATATAAAATTTAATAAAATTTCATATAAGTTTAATAAAATTTAATAAAATTTCCTATTTAAAATTTTTATGAATTAATAAAACTGAATTACGCATACATATTTTTTATTTATCGCAAATATATTTCGCAAAAATTTGTCAGTACATTTTATTTTAAAATGCGTCACAGTTTATTTTCGAGGAATCATTGATAAATCCAAAAATGCGTTTAACATTCTTTTAAACGCATTTTTGATTATTTCTCGTGTTTATTTCACGAGAAATAATCTTCTATAAGCTAACTAACGGAAACCATAACCGCAAGGAAGCGGTTAACTCCTAAGCCCTAACAATCCTTAGTTTGTTCCGGTTCGCGAAGAAGAACGGCAGAAATAGAACGGCGAAAATAGTTTCATTTCGGGACTTATTGTAAAAAGTAGCTGTATCGACATAATCCCATATTGAGTTAACAGAATCGTGTTAAAGAAACAAAATAAAGAAAATTCTTTTGTTTAGCGTGAAATTGTTGTCGCGAAAATTCCCGAGAATGCGGGCTTCGAATTTAAAGAACTGCTGTATCACTAGTCCTTTAAATCGTCACAAGAATTCCGAGTCTCGTTTCTCGAAGTAATGCCTCAATACGGCTTTCGATGTTTATGTCTTTCTCGCTGGAGATGTATCTTTACTCCTTTCAACGGCACACGAAGTTATAAGTGGCTCTTTCTCTAGTGTTCTAACTTCTGACTTACCTTCCACGAAGAGAAAGTATCCCTCGGGATTGTTCGCAAGTATCCGAAGCGCCTTAATCGTCATCTCGGCTAAAGAAGGATCGCCGGTGTCGTTCGTGTTCCGGTCGACATCGAAGTCCATGTGAGAATAGGCGAAGAGACCTGCGACGAGGAAAAAAAAAAGAGTAAGTTCCGGCAAATAATTGGATCGTGTGCTACGCGAAAACAAGTTTGCAATCGTATTAAGAAAGAAACACGAGGAGAGGTAAATAAGAAAATCAGGACATGAGAGAGAAAATACTAGAAAATCAAAATGATCTGGATGAGATTCATAAGATCTCCAACACAGATCATTTTGACGATAATATATTTTCTTCGCCGACATTTCCAACCTCGAGTTTTTTGACGAATTATTAATCGATTGCACCGATTAATAATTCAAAAGCCGCACTAATAATTGAAAATTTCATTTCATTGACATCGATAGTTGCCATTCTATCCTGTTAACCACGTACACAAGGGATTATCGATAGCGATCGATAGATCTGATGTAATCTCATATTCCAAACAGTGAATATCTAATAATTACACTGATTACGACACTGTCAACAGAGTGCAATTAATATGATACGGCAATCAATCGCATTAATTAAGAACGCGAATGATGAAATTAAACTCTTGCAAACCGTCGCGACGAATTCCAATCTATAATTTAGCGCGTACATTTTTTATGCAAATTGAATTGTTAATCAAAAATCATCGTTCATCGTGTTTAAAGCCAAAACACATGTCGACCGTTACTGCAATTTGTTCTTGATCAAATTTCAATGCGAACAAACAACATGTTACATAATGAAAAAGAAATCGAGATCGAATAATACATATATTATCTAGTATAATGACATCAACGCAACACTGAAAAAATTGTATTCTCATTTTAAGAATATGCTATCTTTATATATTCCACTAAAAGGCGCCAAGAGGATCTCTCTTAATTTAAGAGGAAAATCTTCTAAAAAGATATTCTTATTCTTATATTAAATATTCTTTTATTAAATATTCTTATACTAAATATTCTTAACAGGTAAGAATATATTCATTAAGAAGATTATTCATCAAGAATATTTATTAAGAGGACTTATAAAGTATACGTTTCAAGAATACAATTTTTTTCGGTGAACCACTAAAAGTCGTAAAAAATCCGTTGAAATTTACCTAAGAGACGGTTTACTTTTCGCGGGTCCACGTTCTCAAATTGCTCCTTGTTGAAGACGTATTTTGCGGGGATATTTTTTCGACGATGATTCCTGGACCATTCCTCGATGAGATTTCGACCGTCCAGACGTCTGCCCTCCTTATCCGGGTCTTCGGGATCTAAAGTCACCTTCGGTACGAAATGACGTCTGCCACCACCGAGCACAACCTGTAACGATCGGGAAGAAATAAGGCGTATATATGTATATATAAGCGAAGAGCTTAGTTTTTAATTTAATAATATTCGATAAAAACTCGGCGAGCAAAATTTTCTACAAAATTCGTTCGCTTCCGACAAGATTCTTTCGCTCTTTGAATCGAAAAATTTATCACAAACGACATATAATCATCGACCTCTGACTCCGCCTATCCGTAATACCTGAACGAGGCACGCGGAACCGACTTTAATGAGAAAGAAAGTTTCGCCCTAACTTTCCCAGGGATGCAGCGCTCCAATGAAATCGCGGAGAGTTCTTTGCTTCGTTCAAACTTTAAGGCAAGAACTTCTTTTTGCAATAACATCACGCGAGTCATTCCAAAAGGTAAAAATAGCTAATTAATCCACTCTTATAATATCTCCGCCATGTTGCATTCATTTTTTGTTTATCGTATACTATTACAATTAGATTTAGTCATTCAATATTTAATTTCAATATTTAATATATTTTTTTTTTCAATATTTAATTCGAGATGGGACATGCATCTTTCTGCTCGAACCGTGTAATCAATGATTTAGGTTCAAAAATTCCGCGAGAGAAACAGCTTTGAGTTTTAAGAAAGCTTCGGAAAAAATGCAAATTTTTCTTTCAAATAAATAGCGATACGCAAGGAATAAAAATACATACGCCAAGTTCTATTCTTTCTCCATTTTGATCGGCAGAAAATGATGCGGAACAAACGTGTAGTGTGACAAAAGGCGTGAATAAAACCGCGATACGTATATTTTACGTCTATCGATGTAGGATAGAAGGCGTAATAAAACGTGATAAAAAGGTGACAAAGGAGCCGCGATAAGAACTTTATGTCCACTCGTATGCAGGAAGGAATCATAACTGTAAAAATCCCTGTTCGTCATCCGGCGCAAATGTAACCACATCGGATAAACTTTACATCTTCGATCGTTCGCATCTTCAATTTCTCGCGAAGCTTGGACGAGCGGCACGATATTCCTAAATATTTTATTCGTAAATTTCATTGCGGAAACCTGTTTATTCTTAAATAACTCTGTCGTTCGATATTGCAGTTCAATCAAAATTTTGTAACTGTCATATATAAGTAAAAGATTCAAATTATAAATAATATCTATGTCGAGGATAATAAATTTAATATTATAATATTATAATAAATTTAATATTATTTATTAAATAATATTATTTAAATAATATTATTTGGGGAATTTTATAAAATTCTTCAACACTTTAAATATTCAACACTTTAAATATATTCAAACATATTAAATAATATTAAATAATATTATTTATTAAATAATATTATTTAATATTATTTAATATGTTTAAATATATTTCAAGTGTTGAAGAATTTTATAAAATTCCCCATGAAATTTATAATACCGAGAATCGAGGCCTGCACTCAAAAGGACAATGCAATAAGATGTGGATATCAAAATGAAATATATAACATGTATCGACTTTCCTACGCCTCTGAAATATCCGGCAAAGTTTCGCGACTGCTGCACCCAAGGAAATATAGCCATCGAATCTACATAAAACGCAAAAAGTGCCGCCATACATTTTCGCCACACGCGACACACGCGGGGATATTATTATTACGTACGGTGATGTTACGGCCGGGATCGTCCTCGAGCAGCTGACGCGCAATGTCTTTGCAGGAGGTACGTGCAGCAGGTGGCACCTTTCCATCGTCCTCCCAGTAACGGCTGGCTGCATGCGCATAAAGAGCCGCCGGTGTCGCGTGTGTGACCCTCGTGGTTGTAACCAGGCCCGTCGATTTGCCTACGAGCAGAGAAAAATCGAATTATTGCCTATTCATAAATAAAACTTGTCACTTTCCCCTTCTCTTTATCCTCCCCTCTCTTTCTCTCTCTCTCTCTTTCGCTCTCTTTCTCTTTTTCCTTGTTTCCTATGTAAAGTTCTCACGACGTGCTTTCGTAAATCACCCCTTTGGATCCTCGCGGGCGTCCGACTTTATCGCGTTTAAGCGAGAACCAGCGTGCACCAGCACATTGACGTAGAAGACAAATTTCCCTGGTAGCGACCCCTGAGGCGAATCAGTACGATTTATCCTTCATTGAGGGCGAAGTGGATTTTAGAATGTCGAACTAGTGCCGGATGTAATGCTCGGGCGTGCGGGGATTATTGTCGGTGAAGTCGACCGATGTGTATTATTCACGGGAATCTCGTCGAATCGAGAGCAAATGCACCGCATTTAACCGGGATGCGGTTGCTCGATCTCAGGTGTAAACCCTCGACGGAGATCTGAATCTTTCAAGATTCTACGACGGTGTCTCTCAAAGAATGCTTAATGTTCCGTTGCATTTATTTCACATGCAAAGTGCTATTCAAAATACTAATGTTCTCATGAAATAATAGTTTCGCTCCAAGATAAATTCTCTTTCTCTACAAACTTAAATATCTAAATGAAATATTTGGAATTTATAAGATTATATTTCTGAAAAAACGTAATTCTTGAGGAGACTAAATTAAATTTAAATCAAGATCGAAAAGCAAAGTTAAATTCCGATAAAGCAAATACATATTTTTCATTTCTTTTCCTCAGAAATATTTTGAGATTCACAGATACTTATCTAAGATCACATACGTGACAGAAATTAATAATTAAAAATCGCAGGATAATATTTGGCTCATTTATAATCGAAGAATCGGAATGCATCTCGTCTCGATTTGTGAGATCGCACTTTAATTATAGGAGCATTAATCTTGGCAGCCGTCCCGAGGATTTCGCTCAGCCTGCGAATGGGCTAAGGAATTAAGTTGGCACGCAGAGTTTACCCTGGCAATGTGTGCAACGCGCTGCCGGAGGTCAGTAATTACGAGAGTAGTACTAGTGCAGATGGTTCAATACTAATCAACCAGTGTAATGATGTGTAGCCCTTGATTAAAGATAGGAAGCCGAAGGAGTCTTTGATCTCGATCTATCGAATCGAAAATTATCATTAGTATTGCTCATTTGTGATGTTCTTCGTCTATTTCGAAGTAAAAAAATTAGAAAAAAATTGTTATAAAGAAAAAAGAAATAAAATTTTATCTTAAAGTATTATAAAATTTAATTTGATAAAATACTATGACATTGTTTGCATCAAAAATAAATTAATGTAACTTGTGACAATATCTAATAGATATATAGATTTTCATACAAAAATGTTATATTACGTCACTTTTCTTTTTAAAGTCGTTGAAAATTTAAGGCCCAGTTTTTTGTAATAAAAATTTAACAGAAAAAGAATTATTTTAAAGAATGCATATTTAAAATTGCACTTGCATCTCTCTCTCTCGTTTCGCAAAATTAAAACATTTTGGCATGTTGAGCTTTTAATAATGGCGTAACGCTATCGCAGAACTTTGTTCCTTCGTTAACTTACAGTGACTTTGCTTTAAGAGGAATTTAATTTGAGGCTTAGCTATCGAGTTATCCAAAGTTTCAAATTGAAAAGTTGTGAAAACAGATGGCGTTTCGGTCGATTTTTTGCAAGAAAAGTTTTGAAAATCGGCCTTCAACTTATATTCGAAAAAAATGTAAGAAACCCTCTGGCTCGTTCCCTTAACGATGGGGCAGCGAAAAAAAAATTCAATCCAAGCGATCGATCTTTTTCACGTATGCCTATAAATTTCGCCAAAGAGAAACGGAGACGTCTTACGTCAGGATCGCGAGAGGTCCGTAAATATTCCTGCGGAATCATTTGCCGGGGATCCTTTGGCGGTCCGTTTCCAATTCGTTTCTCACCCCTTTTCCGCGGGCGAAGCGTCCGATTTCGTAGGTCGGGCACGACTCGAGATAATAATTCAAGGAGTTTCGGAGTTCTCGGGGTGAGAACTGGCGCAACTCTCGATCCTCCCCCCCCCTTCCTCGAGATGCACGAAATGGACCGTAGTAAGTCGCGAAGACAGCCGCTACTCATCCCAAATTTACCCCTTTCGCGTGTCGAGTCCTCTCTTTAAAGTGTGATTTCCTTTTGGATCACGGTATCGGAAAAGGGGATGATTCGAATCTCTTGATTTAAAAGAATATAGATACTTTTATTTAATTCGATGCGGAACGTTATATCGTTATCTTATGATATTCTATCTACTCGTAATCTTATTAATCATTTCGCGACGATTAAATTAATAGATGACGCAGTAAGTAAAGGAAAATATTTGAAAGAGAGAGATTCTGTTTTATATAAAATTATATAAAATTATATTTTTTTATACCCTCATCCATCTTATAATTTATTCCCCTCCTAACATTTATTTTACACAATTTCTCCTTTATTTTTAGAAAAAGAAAAATTATCCCTCGATAGATATGATAGATAATCATACCGTTCATTTTCAATTACCCTGCAACAGCCTCCATTAATCTGCCATTATTTTTTCATCCTCATTTATTTTTAATTCGCTACTCGTTCTCGCTCGTTTAACTTTTATTTCATAATCTCGCACTTCTTATTTCACTATTCCCCGAGTGATAGATAATCCTGTCGTTCGGGTATCCTGCACAGTAGCTCCGCTATTATCCCGCCATCATTTTTCCTCATCGATTTTTAATTCCCTCCTTCTTCCTTCGTTCGTTCCACGTCGAATTTCTGCCGCCTGCCCGTGTATCATCTCGCGTCGCGACGTCGCGTTGAAGAATGTGACAAACCGCCGACGCAGGGAGGGCGAAAAAGCCGCGGGCCGCGGCCGCGCGGGAAGCCAAGGGTGTCAACGGCAAACGGCGCGCGATTAATCAGCTGGGCCATTCATCTTAATGATCGCGCCAAAGCAAGCTCGTCCTTTCATGCCACGCGTGTACACACGTACACCCACACGTGCGCATCCACGCAGCGCACGTGTCAGAGGTGCATACATCTGCCAGGCCGCGCCGGTCGGTCTTGGCAATGTGTCAAGTATTCAAAAACACAATGCCGCTGTTTGCGGATACGGAGCCGGCCTTGTCGTGACACATTGCGCGATATTGTAAGAAAGAAAGCTCGAAATCGCACGGTCTCGGCAATCAGCCGATGCCAATAATTAGCAAAGAGATCGGGAATATTTCTTGGAATAAAATTTTCGAATTCGCGAGTAAAGAGCGGAAACTAGTGCGTATTCTCTTGAAAGGGAAGGAAGAGATATAACACGTAATTAACGAGACTCTTGTCGTCTCAACTTGTAATCCTGCCAGCGTATTTCTCTCTTTATGCGTTGCAGTATTTATTATTTATTCAACGAGGGAGAGAAATTCTCACGGACATTCCGTCTCGTGTGCGCGGGAGCAAGAAATTACGTTACAACCGGATTACAAACGTGCTCGCTCGCGCATCGCTTTTTGCAGTGACCGACCATCGTAAACAACCATAAGCAATTACTAATGACTCGCAGAAACGGAGACGGGGATGTAACGTTAATTCGCCGCCATCGCCGGCACGACCGCTCATAAACTTACGATTTCGCGGTAAAAGCAATTACAACAGCATCGCCGATAATTACCTCTGGACCCACTCCGCGATAGACCTCCGAGATGTATCGTATATAACGTTTGCAACAGTTTCAGTTTTACGACGTACGTTTCAGCGATGTAATAAAACTGACCCTCTGGTTATGGTTCTCTCGTTATACAATCGTGTGTGTTTTTCCAAACGAATGGCATTGTTTAACGACGATGGTACTTTGTTGTCCGACGCTTGTTACGTCATAACGCTCTCCTCTAATTGCATTTTCTATTATCATCGTTGACGAGGTTTCGTCTTTGATAAAACGACCTTATTGCAGGATACGCATTCCAAATTTTCGGACGCGGACCATGAGAATCGATGCCTTATTTAAAGAAATTATTTTAATTTAAAAAAAAATTTAATATAGATATCAAATTTTATATATATATGAATAAAATGTACTTCTTATAATTTCTGAAATAAACTTTTTAAAAATGCAATAAAATTTTACATGAACGCTCCGATTAATTTCCTAAAACAAAATCTTCATTTGAAATATTCCCTAAATATATTTAATATTAATAGTTTATAAATTATATGCGATAAATGATGATCTAAGCTTTTTTTTATTTTAATTGACGATAAGAAATATAATCATATACCTATATTATAAATGTTTCTATTATCAAACACCCTTTCTCTAAATAAATCATTCATTAAACCTAGATTTGTCTAAATTCATCAAATATAAATTATATAATAATTGAATTTTAATTGATTAATTTTACCAATGTTTCTATCTTCCTAAAATATATTAATTAATATACGATTTTCGCTCCAAGTCGTAAACGCGCAAATTTTATACCACCCGAAGCTCGAAAGCGTGAGCCATGAAACTGCGAAAGTTCGACGTCTACCTCATCCGGAATATTCTCGCATGTACGAGGCGAGTTAATAAACAGCACATGAAATCTCCCATTAGGCGAATCGCGCTAGCTTGTGCAATTAGCGCCGGTCGTAAATTAGATATCGGCTTCCGGTCAAGCACCGCGCGCCAAGAATACGATGTGCACCGCATGCGCGAATTCAATTTATACGGTGGCCATTTAATCGCGCACCCTGTTTGGGCAGTTTAATCGTTTTAACGCCCGTCCTCGGCAAATTGAATGTATGCGCAGATTAATTACGTTTGCTCATAATGACGAGATCGCGGGATCGTAAACATCGCGCCGCGAAATTCAGCAGGAAGTAACGACCTGGTTAAAAAGATTAATCAGTATTCATCAATCTTTCTTTCCTGTTTACGACAAATATCAATGGGCGATCTTTCGCGCGTGTGTTTCAATTTTATTTCCTAATAAAAAAAGCAAGTCCACCGTTCTTTTAATTCGCGAGTCTCTCAGGAAAATTAACTATATATGTGTATAGCTTAAATTTGCAGCAGTATAATTCAATGAAATATATTTGAAATTCTTTCCTTCTCTCTCGCAATTGTATAAACATTAATCCCTTACGCGGTATCAGCTGTGGAGACTCACCTTGAGCCTGGGCCCAATTAATAAGCGAAGGAACGCGCGCCTCCAAACTGGAGTTACAATCCTCGAAGCGCGCCGACGAATCCAGACCAACGGTCTCGTAATTGGCTTTAACTCCACAGAGTAATGCCGTTGCGCATGCCGACGATTCGCCAACCTGGGCATCCGTGTTGTACGTCTGAAAACAAGATAACGACGATTAATTGCGTATTTTCGCGTGATCGAATTACGACCATTTAATATGAATTTGCGACTTGAAAAAGTCCACTTTTGTGAAAAAGAAGCAAACATTTTTCGTTTAATTATATCTTACATGTAACGCAAATTGTTCGCAGTTCCTCTTTCACCTACAGATTCTTCAGCCCATCTTTTTTCTCGAAAAAAAAACTGCTACAACGTAAAGTCCATTTAAGAGTAAATACGATAAAAAATATGGCTTTGTTATCTATTTATATTCTTGGAACTCGAGTTGTAACTACTCTGAAATTTCAATAGCTTTTAACGCAGAAGCTTTCAGGAAATTTTAAAATTATATTTCGTCGTATCCATTTTCTCCATGGTTCATTGCGGATGTATTAAAGTAAAAAAAGGAAAGAAGTTTATAGAAAGTTCATTGTCAAAAGTCTTTCGCGCGATGCTGAATTTTTCATTCAATTTCGTGGCTATTAATGAGAAAACCCGATCCATAATCCTTCCGAAATCCAGGCGAATTTTAGCCGCTATATCACTCGGAGAGCCGCAATTCCGTTGCTTATCCGCGGTTAATATAACCGCGATCACGTAAATAAGGCAATACCATATATCAAGTGCCGTGACGTCGGAAACATCGAGGGAGGAATGATAAGATGCGATGTAAAGAGAAATTCTCACGTAAGTGGACATCGCTTCAATGTGTCATGACTGGCGATTTTCCTCGGGTAACAGGATGGACGCGATATGAGGTTCGCGAAGAGTGACACCGCTAGAAACCACGTCGCTCTAGGGTAAGCACTGCAAATGGACATTTTCCGTTTCTCGGCTCGAACCATGTGCCTCGAACCCATTTTGCATCGGGGAAACGGCAGTTGTATTCTATTACTGCTGACTATACGCGAATGAAAATCGCGAATCTTTCATTTTGCAGAAAATTAACCAAAATGTCGACTGGATATTTAACATCAATTTTTATCCAAAAAAAGAAAGATAATTTCTTGTACAACGCCAGACAATCTTAATAATTCGCAAGATATAACATATCGCTCTGTGATTTTGCGATTGAACTGTATTTTATTAAGTTTTCTTCGCCTTGTTTATTACGACCGATTGTACGTCACAATAATTGACCCAGATTTGCGCTCGTAAATGGCAGATGGAACACATACTCATGCACATAAATCTCCGTATATTATTCGAAAACAGCGCTGCTGCTAAAATCCTGCTGATATCCGATAATTTTCTTTTTCTTCGAAGCGTGCGTTTTTATATATATCCATATATATATTCGTCCATTTCATAGGGAGCCGATTGATTCGCTCAAGTATGCGTTTCTATTTCGGAACCAGACGGCATTTCCCGACAACATCGGCTGGGAAACGCCGATTCCCGCTCACGCAAGAACATCTATAAAGCACACTCGTCATTATCATACTGAAAGCCATGCATCGTCAATTCAAACACCGTTGTGGATTAACCGCAGAATACTCAGCCGATCGCTAAGTGGTAGTAAAGTAGAACATCTGAAGCATAGGACTCGCGATTGAAGGAACAAAATATTATTGTTGATATTTGACGACAAAATTGAGAGGCAAAAGACGCATAAGTGATATCTCAAAAAGTGAAAAAATCGTGACGGATATCGTGTTTTTGATATTTTACGGTTTGATTTTTCCATGCATACTCGATAATTACATCAATAGTAAGAAAAAATATATATATAATAATGGATATAATAATCATAACATTTAAAAATCGATTGGTACGAATTATATGTTCATAGAATAGCATGTGAAAAAGAGAGAAGGGGGAGAGAATTTTTTTAAAACAAATTTAAACTTTACAAATTTTAATCGATATTTGTTTCCGGACTCATTAAGCATTAAAAGTATTATTTTTTGCATTGCAGATAATTTAAAAACATTTCGAATCATGTGAAATATATTTGCATTAATTAATAATATTATATATTTAACATTATTATGTAAAATACATATGAGAAGATAAATTGATTTTTACTAGTATTAAGCAAATATATACTTTTAAGTTTAAAAAGTCAGGAATAATTAGAGCCGAGCGCCGTAAATAAATACATTTAAATTGTGCAAAAATTCTCTCTATAAAAATAACGTAATAATAATAATAAAAATAAGAAACTGAAAAGTAATAAAAAAATAATAAGAAACGCATTATTATTAAAAAGAATTTTTACACAATGTGAATGCAATTTATTTGTTGAGCTCAATTCTTGTTAGCTTTATTCTTTCTCGATTCTTTTATATTTAATACATCAAAGTCTTTCCCATCTTTTTTATCGAATCATCACTTTTATGTTAGATATTTTGTCAAGATATTTTTCCAAATTAATTTACATTAAATATATACGATAAACGCTACATGTGATTCTTATTAAAAAAAATCCATCGGCAAGCAACGTAGCAAAATTTTCATCTTGCATCACACGCGTTTGCCATTCGCTATACGTGACCGGGAGCGTTCACCATAATCGAGAGACACGGCAAAAAGCGCCCAAGCGATATCATGCGAATATCCGAAATCCGCGCAGCGATATGCAGCGATGTCGGGCAGGGTTAAACGTTCACGATAGGCACGGAGATGCTATAGATTATCATGCTGGCATTATCGCCGGCGACGCTTTTATCGGGCGTTTCCGCGACGAGCACGTCGATAAGATAAATTTGGAGTACGAAGCGCGCCTCCTCTTTCTCTCTCTCGACTCCGCAGGTGAGAACGAGCGGCGGCAAAACGCGGATCGTGAAATCGTTACGAGATATCCGGAGGGGACATATGGAGGCGGACATTGCAGGGTGCATCACGAAGCGGAAGCAGCTAGATGTTTCACTACCGGACACGTCCCAGCAATGGAGCGTCCCGGACGGATGGCCGTTCAGCAAAGCAAAGTAAGCATCACCTGGTCACGTCGTGACCGATAGAAAGCTTTGAGATATCGCCAAGTGTCGGGAGATTAAACATGCGAAATGGCGCTTTCCCAGAATCCACACCTGCTTTTCCATTTCCTCCTTTGTCGCTGGAGCTAAATTCATATTTTTATATTTTACAAACTCGCGAGAGAATTCCTCCTGATACACACTTCGCATATTTATCTTATTCCTCGCCCACACACGCGTATTAGTTAATTTTTTATGTCTAATAAAATATTCTGAAAGGAACAATTTTTTATGTCTAATAAAATATTTCGAAAGGAACAATTTTTTATGTCTAATAAAATATTCTGAAAGGGACAATTATGCTTCTTTGCGTTCATAATAGACAAGTATAGTTGATAGAGAAATGTAATTGAGTGATATGGATCGACATTTGTAAATTCGCTTTCCTCTATTATTGACGATTCTTTTATGTGCATTTAATTTTTAAATGTAAATGCATATCTCATTTAATTTCATCCGTTATTCAACGGAAATCAAATATTATTGTGTATTTATATAAATCTATATTTTACATATACATATACATACATATTACACATACATTATATAACATGTTTTTAATATTTATTCTTCCAAATTTTTCTGCACTATTTTTTCATTTTCTTTCGAAGCAAAAGTATCGCTTTTCAATATGAAATTATTTCAATATTGCCTTAAGAATCTCATTTTCATCACAATTCATTGTCCCTTTTCCCATATCAATATCAAACAAAGATCGCCTTTCGATAATGACCGATATTTCAATCGAGTTTATCGCGCGATAAAAGCGCATTACAAAGCGCCTTTTATCTACTCTTGATGATGTATTATTTGTTTTTCTTGTTTATCTCCTCTCGTACACCTTCTCATACACACCTAAAGCATTATTACTTACCGAGATCTCCAGGTACACATGTAAAAGTGATTCGGTGGGTCCCTAATGCGATTATTCTTGCAGGCGCACGGTCGATGTAATTGTCGGATACCGAGGGGAGAACGGGAATTGCGCGGGAGGAGGGATAGATTTATATTCATAATACCCGTTGGGGTGGGGGAGGACTGTTAGGCGCAAAATGTTTTAGAGACCAAAGTAAACGCCGAGTCCGCAGTATAATGCCGCTAACTCACTTCTCCCACGACGAACATTTGTCTCGTAATGGCCACCGGCTCACCACGTTTATGACTAGTTCGTAAGCGCCTAACCGTGGTTTTGTCACATCCGTTCTGTATCCCCTCTCCCCCCCGCCTCTTCTCTCCTGTACCTGGCACATTTCGAGTGCTGGCGACGACTGTGTGTGGGCGTGCGTGTGTCATCTCCTCGTATTCATCATTGTATCCATTTATGAGAGCCGCTCCATGATTCTTGCGTTCTTTATTTTACTTTTGCTTTCTCTCTTTAACCCTCCAGTTTTGAAGTTTTAATCACCTCGGTGCTTTTTTTTTTCTTTTAAGGATTCTTAATGAAACTAATTCTACATAATATTAGATAGACCCATGAACTTGTACGCAAGATTCTTTTCACGAGTTTTGAAAAGTAACTAAATTATTTTATATATAATTTATATAATATATTATTAGGATAATTTATATAATATATTATTAGGATATTTATACATATTTATAATTTTATATAATAATATAAAATTATAAGTATGTATAAATATCCTAATAATTATAATTTTATATAATAATGATTTTAATATATTTATTATTATATATAATTTTATATATTTTATATATAATTTTAGATATTTCTAATTATCTTAGTAGATAAATCTTAGTAATTATTAGGATATTTATACTTATTAATATGTAAGTGTTTTTATATGCATATTTTTTTCATAAAAAAATTTTAAAGCACACTGTCGTAAAGCTCTGTTATGCTCTTTTGCATTGAAAGCGTGGTGAGATGCAAGCTGCGCGAGGTAAAAAATTTCTGTATCATCAATCTAATGGCAATAAAGTAAAAGCGTTTCGACAAAACCCATGATAATATAACAAACTATATTTCTATATAGAACAAAGCACACATTGAAGCGATATCGCTGACGCATATTTAGGACAGAAATTCTGCATGGGTGTACCTGTATTCATTATACGTGTGTCACTTGTCGGGAACAAAACGTCACGAGTACTGCTTTGTCATTCGGGCATGTGTCCTGACTAATGGCACACATATACAATATACAGTGTGTACAGAACGTTGGGCAATTCTCGCTATATTCGAGAAGTGAATAGTTTCGCGTTGCAGAGTACATCGATTTGCCGGGATGAAGAGTAAACTTTCCTCTCAAACAAAGAAAACTGATCCAACAGTTGATGAATAAAAGGCAGTGTAATTCCTTCAGGTGCCGGAAAGAATATTACAGTTACCTGTAATTTATTTAATCCACGTTTAATTGTGTTCCGAGCGCTCCAACGGAATTATTTTCTTCTTTCACAGAGAGTAATTACGCAAAATAATCTTGCCCATACTTTCGTTCTCTCAATCGAGAATATAAATTTAATTACCAATATTCGTACATTTATGATTGAAGTCCAGCGATTCGGAACACCTTAAGAGCACGCGCTTCAAATCCCGCGCAAAGTTTAAAGATCCAGAGTTTACGATCTATTCAGTTAGAGGCAGTTCTGCTTCCGCATCATCTCGCATCATCTTCCATCGTTCATTTCCCGGTGCGATCATAATCGCGGCAATTCGACCAAAGTTGGATTCGAACGCGTACGTGTGAGATTCGCGAAAAGTCGCGGGTTGCGGGGGTTTTCCTCCCTCGATCGTGATCCAAGTTGAAATTAAATTGACCGCGGTATGTTCTCACGGCTAAACATCCGTCTGCGTAAGTGCACGTGAACGGAAAGCACGAAGCGGAGCTTCGAGTCGCATTTTTCTAAGGAGAGATCCTTTTTCTCGCTCCGTTCGTTTTTAAGAGAAACGTATCTGATATTTTTCCCGAATACCGACTGCAAAGAGGCAAAACGTACCGGAAACACTCATTTCTCTCTCTCTCTCTCTCTCTCTCTCTCGGTCTGTCTCTCTCTTTCTCTCTTCATTTGTCCTTTTTTTTTATTTTTATTTTCCTTTTTTCCATTGGACCGAACCATCCATTTACCGGCGACTGTCTTCAAGTCGGGACCCCAACAGCTAGTTGCCACCTAATTACACCTACTGTATGTTGCTACTAAAATGCTAGTGATATTTATTATACTGTATTCATGTAGTGAGGTAGATTGTCCGTTTTTGTATTTTGTCAAACAACAATGTAGATTGTCCGTTTTTGTATTTTGTCAAACGAACGCATAGTTCGAGTCCCACAATTAATCCATCACATATACCCAGAAAGAGAGAGAGAGAGAAAGAGAGGGAGGATTTGTGTCTTTCTGGCTAGAATTTTTTTTCCGTTTTTATATAAAATATCCCGGCAAATTATGACAGATTTCTTCATTAATGCCATGTTGATTTTTCCTTAACGGATTTTCCGAGGCATCAAGCTCTTTAATTTGCAGCGGAATTTCAAGATGAGGGGGAAATATTAATGTTAATATAGTAAAATTCTCTCTCGCACGGAGAGTATAAAAACATTTTCCATCGCGGAGGGAAAATAAAAAATACCGTATAAATAATTAAATAATAAAATAATTAAAATCCAACCGGAACGTATAAATAAGTGTACCGAGCTCGGTCCATTTCATTTGGCGATCCCCTAATGACGGAGATTATTTGTTTCTCGTGCAAAACGCGCTTCAGTAAATTCGTTATCCGCGCTATCTCGTTGAAATCATGCCAAAACCTCTCTAAGCTTTAAACACATCAACATTTTCCAAGATACATACAGTGGAACGTCATTTCCAACGTTAATTAACGAAATCGATCGATCAAAAAGTTAAACACTTTAATACGTCTCCGGAATAACATTTTACAAACTTTCCATGATAAGACGACATGGCGGAGTGTAACGTTAGAGCCAAACTTAATTACAGCTTGCAAAAGTGTCGTAAAAGCAGAATCAATATCCTCCCTTACACTTAGTAATTAAGATCGCATCAATGAATTGATTTCGAATAGTAACGTAATATTTTTTTTTAATATACTTTTCGCGGAACTTTTCGCATCAATGAATCAATTTCGAATAGTAACGTAATATTTTTTTTTAATATACTTTTCGCGGAACGTTTTTTTAATATACTTTCGCGAAACTCTATTATTTTTAATCATCTCAACAATTTAATCCGAATGTTCGCTTAATGTATCCTGATGATAGTTCACGCAGGCACTCGATCGATGTCCAAAAGCCCGTGGAAATCGATCTCGACCCGTTGGCCGAGGAATACAACATGAACCATAAGAGAAGAGGAGTAGCACTTATACTGAACCATGTTCGCTTCGAGAGCATGAACACGAGGCTGGGCTCCGTAAAGGATTCCCTAGATCTGAAGGCATCATTAAGCAGGCTCGGATTCGACGTTCGGATTTACACCGATCCAACAGTCAAAGTCATAACCGCGACTTTACAGTCGAGTAAGTATTACATATACTACACTTCCTAGGATAACCCGGTCCGTACAGTAATAACCGTACCCACTTCGTTCTGTATGATCTAACTCTGATGACAGATCAAACAGACCATGAATTAGACTGTATGTCTAACTAAAATAATAAAAGCAAAAACGCTTTCGCTTAATATTTGGAGAAAATAATGGAAACAAAGAGATGGAAATATCATTATATTTTCATCAATTTGCAATATTGCAGACTGTAACGCAATCGTTTCGTTAGCTCTCTGTGTACCATTGTTTCTCACCTTTTTACGATAAGCGCACTCTTTCATCTCGCCTCTCATTGTTTAAAATATAAGAAAGCGATAGATTCTTGAGACAAAGAGAAAATGCGGAATGTCTCAGAATGCCCTTTCTCACCTTTAATCGCGTAAGGAATTTATATTCAATTATTCTTTGAAAAGAAAAAAAGAAGAAAAGTTTATAGAAGATTTTATGAAAATATTTTATGCAATATTTCTCGCCGCGCGCGCAATATTTTCGTAATTAAATTTCAAAATGAAATTCCATTATAAACAAAGCCTCTTGAATATATGATGCAATATGATCTATATGATCCATTTGATAAATACATAATATTTCAATTTCGATTGCTTGATTTGACAAATGGTTGGAAAATGTGTTGGGAAAAAATAAATAAAAATATATAAGCGAGAGAAATATCATTGACAATATCCATGATATGCATCGGACGCAAAACGCAATCATTGGTCATGTAGATACATCTAATACCTCGCTTACAAGAGCTTCCCGAGCAAATTAACAATTAATAATTACCGATGAATTCTTTGAAGATTCTTGCGTAGGCAGGCAAGATATTGGAGGACAATAACGTAAAGGGGGAGGATGTAATGATGCGGGGGTCCCCGATGAAGAGACCTAGGAAGAAGTTATACAAACATTTTACGATGGTACGAGCTCATTAAATGTCTATTCGTCGCAGTGAACCGAGTTTCTCAACAAATAACTAACAAAGCAATCTCGTGAATACGACTGCGGCAGGTGCCGCGGAAAGTGAGGCGGAAAGCCCGATGATTACGGAACTTGGCGTTGGATAAGAAAAGTTCTCGCGCCTTCTTCGCTTCAACGCGAGACGATGCGCTCCATCAAGTCTAAAATGCCATACTCATTTGCTGTGCGCTTCTCGATTGTGCACTTTGTGCATTACATACGCATTCAAGCGATATCGTTCTTGCAATAAAAAGTGACAAATGATCCAAGTGGAAGATACTAATGCAGGTATAATTTCGCGCGGCAATAGTTTAGGAAAACATGCGAGATCTTCGACAACTTTTATAACGTAGTAGAAATATTGTGAAAACACGAGAAAAGCTCGACTCCAAACGTTTTTATTAACGTAGATAATTGACAATTTTGAAGAATGTAAAGAGAATTTCTTCGATAATTGCATGACAATTTCGTGTACAAATCGGACTTTATTTATGGAACTTTGAACTCTTAAATTTTTATAATAAAATGAATTTTTTTAAGAATTATACTTTCAAGAAATATTAAATTATTTATCCTAAATTACACAAATGTAATCAGACAAATCTCTTGGACTGAATTGGAGAAACTTGGGGAAAATAAGAAGAGGGTAAAAGAAATGGCAATATAAAAATAGCGAATGGTGTTGTCCACCATTTCCGTCTGAAAAGAACGAATTCAAGCGGACTTTTCATCACTTTTCATCGATATGAGGGAGGCAACGAAACACACCCGAGGTCGGGAAAATCCTGTGTCGGATTCTTTCTCTCGCCGCTAGACTTTACACGTATTCGATTACCGAATCGAAAGTATCGAAAGAGCGTCCGTTTACTTTGGGGAGCCATGGCCTGGCCGAGCGTGTTATAACTACGCTGTCACATAAATAAACCCGTTCGGCTTCGTATTTTGCGCGGCTGCCTTCCGGCCACTCTCAATGCTTTAATTTTGTCTGGCAGAGTTTCGGAGTAAGCCGAGACGAGCGAGAGCTTTTCCCCGAGTTCCACGCGTATCGACTGCCGAACGAGAGCCGAAACTTTTCAATCGGAGCGACCTGCGTGTTGTTGTAGTATCCGCTTTGTCTTCTATTTTTCCTTTCTTCTCTTTCTCTCTCTCACTCTTTCTCCTCCATTGATCAGTTAACAATACACGTTGCACCGGCACCATTTTCCTTTTTCACGTATATATATAACCAGCGCGATTCTTACTCTTCATCCAAACTGCCAGGATATCCGATAAACGTGCCGATGCGGTCATAACGTGCAAACACAAAAAAAGATCATCCACTAGATCTTAAGTACTTTTAAAAGAGAGATGTGTTAAAGATTGATATTTAAATTAACATCAAATTTGGTCGTAGATGATGTTGCCAGAGATGAGAAAAACTTGGAGCTTTTATTTTTTTATTTAATAAAATAATTGTGTTTTTAAGAATTAAAATATACGTGTGTATGTCTGATTAAAATAATTTTCTCTATTTAATAAAATTTAAAAAATATTTATAAAATTAAAAAATCATTATCGTCTAAAAAAAGTACGATATCTACTCTTTTATAAATTTATTACCCCTTGTTAGAAACGAAAATAAAATAGGAAGGAAATATAAATTAATGTTTCGTATCGCAGGCATGTATTACATTTTTTCCGCAAGGAAAATACATATCTTTCAAACTTTCTATTTAATAAAGGCTATAAAAGCGATTAATGGTCACAAAAAGCCGGGCAGTACATTTGTTCAATTGGCTGGTTTATATTGATTGCTTTATGGTGCATTCATTTCGCCAAACTAGTATTCATTCGCTTGCACAAAAAGTTTTTAAAATTTTATAATTATAAAATAGAGAGAAAAAAAAGAGAGAGAAATATAGAGGAACTATTTTAAAACTCAGTTTTCCTTATAAAAATTATTTTCATAAATTATCATTAAAAATCTCATTAATTATTACAAAATATAATATTAATAAATTATGAAGCAGCTTACGTAAACTTTATCCGATTAATAAACGAAAACTTAATATTAATATTTAGTAAACAGAATTATTATCATCGGATGCGTTGATTTCATTTGTATAAAATAGCCAGCGCGTTTCTGTGGACTCACTTCATGATTCTTGAATTTTATCAAACAACGCACAGAGTCTACATTTCGGACAGCATTTAATAAAATGGAGAATAAAGCCGCGCACTCTTTCCCATATGCTGAACAATCAGCAAAATTGGCGCATCCGGGCCATTCAATTGGTTTGTTTTTTTTTGTCCCAAAAATTTCTCCGTCGCTGCACGTCGAAAGCAGAGAGAAAAACAAGTTTTTCCGCGTAAAGTCGGGTTTGTTAGTCGACAGATGTTACACCGTCGCGAAGAGTAACAACTCACATGTGACACATGTTGTCTTAACCCGTCGTCGCTTTGTCTTCTTCGTACACATCTCTCAATCGGAATACATACAACACACTCATATATACGTACGTATGTCTGATTTAAATAAATATGCAGAATTATTTCATAAGCAATTAGATATGAAAAAATGGCACAAAAATTGTTTCGCTTAAAACGTATATATGATGGGCTTTTTTTTGTAGGTGGAAGTAAAATATAAAAAATATAATATAATATAAAAAAATTGATTTGTAAATTTTTTTCTATATTTCCGCCTATAAAAAAATCAATTTTATTTTTTTAATAACAATTGTATCTTTTTATCCTTAATAATAGCGATTGTTAAATTCAATAATTTATTAATTAACAATTATTTGAAATAATGAAAGAGTGTATGTTGTGTGTGAGTTGATGAAATCTTTTTACGCGTTTACGAATATGTTTAATTCAAAGTAATACATATAATTTAGTAGTTTCTGGATTTGGCTCTCTATATATTTAGGACTTCACTATGGATTTTGAGCTTTTTTATATATTTGAGATATTTACGTTCGCTCGCCCAATTAATTAAGATTGATCAGTAGAGAAGAAATATAAATTAAATCATTTAAAAAATCGCGATGTCAGTTTAGAATAGAATGCTCCTTATGAAATATATAATTTCATTATACGAATATCCATCATCTCATAAAAACAAATAATAAAAACTAATTCTGCTTTTATCTTAGTAAAGGTAGATATTTTATATAAACTGAAAATTTCATTTTGAAATCATTGTATTTAAATTTCCATAATAATATGTTTATATTTATCCTTTAATCATTGATCTTAATTAACATGTGAGAAGACAAGCGTAAATACCAATACACGTAGATGAAGATCAAAGGTTAAAATCAAATCAAATATGAAAGAAAAGCTAAACATTAAATTTATTTTATTAATAATTTATTTTTATATTTATTTCAACTTAAACATAGTAAAAGAATTTATTAATTTCTTTATTAATCTCCCATCACCTTAAATCATTTTTAATTAAAATCATTTTTAATAAGTTATTGAACTTATCTCTCATCGATATTTCCGTATATTAAGAAAGCCATTTAAAAAAAATTTAACCTTTTTTTTCACTTTTCATTTAGAAAAAAAAATTATTCAACAACCATATAATGTTATCTTTCAAATTACAAATTTTCTAAAAAATAATTTTTCATTGTTTTAATTTATATATATGTATGTTTTAATTTTTTTCATTGTTTTAATTTATATATATGCAAATGTGTGTATGTGAGTATATATATTGCAGCAAACATTTGTAGGATAACACAGCACGTGAGCGTGTGCAACGATGCGCCAGCACGTACCTAAAATACTCTACGTAAAGTGTTTGCTGACACTTCCTACCGAAAGCGCGATAGCGTCCCTTGATGAGCTCGTCACGCAGCTTTGGCAGCTGCTCTAGCGAAGTGTAACTGACAGACTCCAAAACTGCGACAACGTACGCAAATCGCAATCAAAGCCTAAGGCTCTAGAGTCTCTTTCATGATAAATTGTCTATCTTCATCTAAAGAATATTGCGTGTTTAATGTTAAGTATTTATATCAT